CCCCCTTAGTTGTCCCATCCAGAGCGTCCTTCTTCACCCCCCGTCCTGGTGCTTGCGAAGGATGGGAGCTGCCAGGCTGTGTTACAGGCCACACCAACAGGCCCCCCCTTCCCCTCATGTCCCCACAGTGGGGCAGCTGTGGCCAGCGGCATAGCGAGTAGGCAGGCGTATGGAAGTGGCAGGTCCCCGGACCACTTGAAGGGGGTGCCACTGAGCAGTTTCTGGGAACATGGTGGTTTGTGTTGTCAGCCGAGGGCTCACTCAGCAAGTTAATGCTTCTACATTTGAGAGCTCCCAGAGGTCAAGGTGGGAGTTCTGAGGCTCTAGTGGTCCAGCACCTGACTGCTATCTGAAAGGTGGACGGTTCAAACCCACTAACTGCTCCATGGGAGAAAGATCCGGCCATCTGCTCCTGTCACGAAGACCACCTTGGAAAACCAGGGGGCAGGGTCCACTCTGGCCCCCAGGTCACCGAGGCGGAGCCGGCTGGACAGCAGGAGGCTTAGGATAGGTTAACCCGTGATCCTGCCCCGTGAGTGGAGAGAGAGAAGCCTCGACACACAAAGGCCGAGCCCACCGAGGCCATGTCGGCCAGGAAGGCGTGGCGGTCAGTTTCTTGTGGGGCCCTCACGTGCCAAGTAAGAGACGGCGAGTGGACCTGATTGTTGGAGCTGACATCGCTGTGTTGGATGCTGGGTCCTGTGCTTGCCGTGGGCGCCGTTCTGCAGATACGCCTCTGCCTGTGCCCCTCCCCGTCCCCATCTGCCTGGCCGGGGTCTCAGCAGACCTCCTGTCTGGTGCTGTTGTTCTGGTCCTGATCCAATAAAGATGTCACTCTCCAGAATCTGTTGGCCTTTGTCCGGGGCCTTGGGTTGGGGATAGACAGGGGTGAATGTGGGTGCTGTCTGTGGGGGTTCCCGAAGGTACACCCACCCCTGCAGGAGGGCAGCATGGAAGGCCAGGGCAAATGAACTCCTTTATCACCCAGAATTTGCTTAGCCATTTGAGGTCCTGTTTGCACACTGTTCATCTCTATGGATAGTCTGAGGCAGGCCCTAGAGAGACTGGAAAGCTCTAGAATGTTCCAAGGAGGTCTTAAGTGAGAGTGGAATAAGAGGCTGGAGGCCTTGGAGAAGTGAAGGGGATTCTGCTGAGAAGGGATAGGCAGTACCGGGGGATCTGGGGGTTCTGAGCACTGCTCCCCAGCATCCTCATGGTCGGGGCTCGGTCAGCCCTGGGTGGGGATACTGGTTGGGGCCTAGCCACCTTGTTCTAGCCCTGGTTCTCAGGCACAGCTGCCAGCCCTGGTCATCTGCTTCCAGGCCTTGTTCACATGGCAGCAGGGAAGCAGGGAAGTGCCCGGCGGCGGGGTGTGTGTGTTCCCAAGTTCCCAAGGTGTGCACTGGGAGAGGGACCCATCACTACAGGTTGGAGGGGTCCCTGCCACATCCCCTTCTGAGACCCCAGGGCAGTGAGTCCCACATAGCGCCCGGGGAGTGATGCCGTCACGATGAGGAAGCCACCACGGACAGCCTGGGTCCCTCTGTGGGACAGTGATGGGAAGGGGGTGAGGAGGGACAGGCCCGTCAGTCCTGCTGCCTGTTCACCAAGGAGATCGAAGGTGCTGTCCTTGTGCTGACTTGGCTCTGACTTGTGGTGACGGGGGTGAGAGTGGATGCCTCCAGACGACTTCCAGTGCTGTGGCAAGCAGGTTCAGGCACTCAGCTATGAACTCAGAGTATGGTGATTTGAATCCACTGTGCGGTGTGGAGAAAGCGAAGGCTCCTGTGTGGAGAAAGCGAAGGCTCCTGTCGTGAGCACAGCCTCGGGCCGTGCCGGGCAGCTCTACCGTCCTGCAGGCTGGGCGTCACTCACAGGGGGCAGCGGTCTCTCCAGCTTCAGGGACTCTAACAGAAGCGAGACTTCTGAGGCTCCTCTGGGGAGGTTTGCACCTCTAACCTTTTGGTTTGTAGTCAAACGCTTAGCCATTTTGTCCACCTGTTGTTGTTAGGTGCTGTTGAGTCAAGTATGACTCAAGGTGACCCTGTGAACAGAAGCTCTGAACCCTGTTCTATCCTGCGCCATCCTCACACTTCCTGAGACACAAGAAAGAGCCCATTGAGGCAGTCACCGTGTCAATCCACCTAGTTGAGGGTTTTCTTCTTCTTCGCCAACCCTCTACCCTTTCCAGCATCCTGTCTTCTAGAGACCTCTTATACGATGACCCAAAGCCAGTTTCCAGAAACTACCGGGGCACACCAGGAAACAGGCTCTCCTGGCTGGAGCTGTGCTCCACACCGCGAAGTATCCACATAGCAAAGTGGGGGCTTTGTGCCTGAGTCCCCCAAGTTGTCTTCCTGGTCCTACCAAGGGGGAAACGGGACAGTAAAGGTTGGCACACAGAAGCAATGCGGAATGTGGCGCTAGGCATAAAGCAGTGGGACCGTCCAGCAGCGCCAGCTCCACACAGCCCCCTCCACGCTGCCCGCAGCCCCTTCCCTGTCCTTCTCAGGCGGCTCCCTGCAGCAAAGACCTCCCACTGACCCATGTGTCCTTCACCTGGTCCCCAGCTTCGAGAGCAGCGTCAGAACTGAGCCCTCACTAGGGTTGGCTCCAGGTAACAGAAAGGTGTGCTGTTGGGTGACTCGGAAAATCCAAACCCAGACAGAAAGCATCCTGTCGAGTCCCCCTCACAGAGGCCCTACAGGCAGGAGAGACCCCCCATTGGGTTCTGAAGGCTGTACTCTTCACAGATGAGGAATCCGGCCTCCGCTTCCTCCCCAACGACGGTCGGTGAGGACAAACCTCTCCGTTAGCCCCTGGGCTGCAAGAGCTTGTCCACGGTGCCACCTCCCAGTGCCACGAGGGCGTGGGGACCCGAGAGCAAGATGGTTTTCATTTCTTCACTCCCAATCGTAGGCTTCTTCTCAGGCCCCATACTTTCTGCTCTTTCAGGACTTCCTCCTCCCTGCATTCGGTCACTTTATAATCTGATGTTCTCTTGGAACCCTCAGCTCAGCGCTCAGCACGGCAGCGACTTGAAACCCCTGCCATGGGTCTCAGAGGCTGTTAATCTGTCAGTGGCTGTCAGTCTGTCAGAGGCTGTCAGTCTGTCAGTGGCTGTCAGTCTGTCAGTTTGTCAGCCTGTCAGAGGCTGTCAGTCGGTCAGAGGCACATGGGAGAGGGCTCATCTCTTGAGGATCTGCTGGTGGTTTTGAACCTCCAGCCTTTAGGTTAGCAGCTCAATTCCCTACGAACTACACCACCTAATGAAACGTCCCCTCGCTTTTCTTTTTTGCAAATATGTGCATTTAGAGCTATATCTTTTCCACACAATAGTGCATCCACTTTTTTTCTTGTTGTGTACTGTCAGAAAGGATCCGACTGGCACAAGAGGAGATTGCTCCTCCCTCTCCAGCACAGCATCTGGTGGATTTGAACCACATGCCTTTGGGATTGCAGTGCAGTTTCTTGCCATTAAGCTACCAGACCTCCCTCAGCTGCAGTTTTGATATAGGACACTTATTATCAATATTTCCCACAATTTTCCCAGAGGACTAATGGACCATGGGAACCTCAGCTTTCAGCACCCTGAGACTAGAATTAGATGGTGCTTGGCTACCACTAATGGACACTCGAAATGGGGTCACAGTGGAGGCAGGGTGGGGGAGGTGGGACAGAACTCAAAACCACAAAAAAGGCTGGAGTTACTGGTCCAGCTCAGGCTGTGGGCCCTGAGTCACCCCCGGAACCAGGAGCAAACCTCCACCTGGAGGATCCACTTTCAGTCACACACCAGCCAGGGCCGTAAGGTCTGCTGTAGCACCTGGAGGGCAGCGTTAGCTCAGAAGGAAGGAAGCTGTAGGGTGAAGGATTAATGGACATGAGAACCACAGGGAGGAAATGGGGCCCGTGGCTCCACTGTGGGCACTGTAAGGCACGTGATCAAATGTGTATGAAGGGTTGAGTGGGAAATCAATTTGTTTTGGTCTCCCACTTTGATTTAAAAGTTTCTTGTTGTTGAAAAAAAATGCCTATGGCAGTACTTACACCAATCATGTTTCCACGGGTGCAACTGGTATGTGACTGCCTCCTTCCAGGCCGTGCACCCATCCTCACCCTCCTCTTCCCATCCAGTCCTCTCCCGTCACTGACTCACTGCCCCCCCAAGGGGCCTAGTGAATCTTTCAAGTTGCTGTTGTGAGGATGGTCCCATCAGGGAATCCTAGAACACTTAATTGTGCTCATGTGAAACTTAGACCAAGAAGCTGTCATCTGAACAAAGCAAGGGGACACTGCATGGTTTAAAATTAAGAAAGGTGTCTAGTAGGGCTCGCTCTGGCCTTTCCCCATACGTATTCACTGTGTATGCTGAGCAAAGAGCTTGTGAAGTTGGACTTCATGAGAAAGAACGTGGCATCAGGATGGGAAGAAGACTCAAAACCTGTGTTATGTAGGTGACACAGCTTGTTTGCCAAAAGCAAAGAGAACTTGAAATACTTGCTGCAAAA